TACATGATATTCAGTGCTTCACTGAAAATTATTTCTACATCTGAGTTAATGTTCATCTGAATTAATGGTTATAGTTAGAGTTAAAAACAGTCTGCAGGGCTGTGAAATAGGAGCTTCATTACCAGGAGACAGTAGCAGATGGCAGAATAGCAGGAAAAAAGCTTAATTAGTGGAACTTCAAGACCATTAAAAAGGATAAATGGTCACTAACAGCTGTGGAATTAAAAATTTAGATGGAATCAGGTAAATTATAATGAGCCATAAAGTCAATTGACTCCCTCACTGCCACCTAAATAGAAATGCTACTGCCACTGCCACAAGGCAGTTGTTTTTAAACTTTGGGTGGACCAAGAATAACTTGCCAGGGTTGGCACCTCCCTTTTCAAAATCCTAGATCTGTCCATGACCCTGGCATTTGCTGGACAAGGAGAGCGTCCTGTGTGGAAGGAGCACTGATCTCTCCTTTGTGCTACTCTTTAATGATAAACTGGTCTGTTCTGCTTGTCTCAAATATTTAACCTGCTGCAGATTTGGCCCTGGACATCCCAAATGTCTACTGAAGTTTTTGCTGAGAAATCTCCAGTGGTTTAGGAACAACTGTGATCTTTGGCTTTCAAGTGAAGGTAAACTGTGGCCTAAGCATTTTAAATGGATATTTTGATTAAAATGAAGAGCAGTGAATGACTATTTGTGTGTAGACCAGGGGGTTTCATTATTGATGTTCCACTAAGACGACTGGGAAAAGCTAATATTTTGAGCCCAGGTTATTGAAAGTATTGAACTCCCATTGATTACAATGAAGGCTAGACGTTTGGGGGCCCAGATGGGTTTTTTTTTTGGAACTATGCCCCTCACAGCCCATTGTTTAAGAAGTCTTCAGACTTGGGGAGGTGAATCTGATCATGAATCCTACCCCAGCGCTTGTATCCTGCTTAGCCCTCTCCTTTTCTTTTCTTTTTTTAAATATAGTTGGAAGAAGGAGAATAGAAGACAAAGGGGGAATTTGATAAATGTCTTCAAATTCCTGAAGGGTGGTTGTATACATAACGGGAACAGATTATTGTTTGTGGCTGCAGGGGATGGGACAAGGATCATAGCGGGAATGGTTTGAAATAGAAAGGGAAATTTAGGTTGGTTATTCAAAAAATCTCTCACGATGACCACAGATCATAGGAAGGTAGAGCTGGAAGGGACCTCATGAAGTCATCAGTCCAGAGGTGGCAAACAAATGGCACTGACAGCCTCTGTGTGGCATCCCACAGACTGGGGAGGGAACAGGCAGCGCAGTGGCAAACAGGGCAGGAATCATAAAGCACAACAACAAATTGGGTAGGGGAAGGAGATCAGAGTGGTCCTTAGGGAGGGAGAAGGGCTAATTCATGGCACACCTGCCAAAAAGACTGGCTCCCACTGAACTAGTCCAATCCTTTGCTCAAGGCAGGGTCATTCCTAAACTATCCCAGCCAAGTGTCTGCTCTTGAAAATTCCCACAGATATTGATTCCACAACTTCTCTAGGTAGTCTATTCCAATGCTTGCCTACACTCATAGTCAGAAAGTTCTTCCTAATTTCCAACCTAAAATTTCTCTGTTGTAGCTTGAGGCCATTACTCCTAGTCCTGTCCCCTATGGCCACAGAGAATAGGCTATTGCCACATTGTGACAAAGCCCTGAAATAGTCTAGAGAGGTTTTACAATTTCCAATCTTAAAAGTTTTGAACAGCAGGTGAGACAGACATTTGACTGGGTTGATTCTGCCTTGAGCAAGGAGCTGGACTAGATGACCACCTGAGGTCTCTTCTAGCCCTACTTTTCTATGATTCTGTGGTATAGATGGCTATGCAAATCCATATACATTTCTGACCACTGATAATTATCTGTATTTATACATAAACAGCTATATTAATCTATCCCTAGCCATATACATCTATAGCCATCTATGTCAATTTATTATAATCCTGTCAGTTGATAGGCATAGATTGGCTTTACATATATGGCTCTAGATTGACATAGGTGGCTTTTTAAAAAAACTGTTTGGCATAGGTAGCTATGACATAGCTGGTAATAGATGTAGAATCAATAGCCAGTTATATAAACTTGTATTAATCAATAGGTATACATGGCTAATCTATATCAATCTATACCTAGGTACAGATTTAAATAGCTAGGTATAGATTGACAAGACTATTTATATCCATCAATGTCCAGCTTTTTCAATTTATATTCACAGATAGCTAGGCATAGGCAGTTATTGATGAATATAGGTTTACAAAGCTGTCTTATGATTGATATAATCATCTATATCTAGCTATTTAATTTAGTACCAGCTATATCAATCTATGCCAATCAATAAGGAGTGATTGCAAGTGATACAAGTTATAGATATATCCAACTTTGCCAGTCTAGGCAAATTGATATCCAGCTATAGCTGTATACATGACATAACGGGTTCAGGGAGGTATGAGCTTTCATAGGCAATGGCCTACTTTGTCAGATGCCCTTCAAGGACTTGCAGAAAAAAAAGCATGTATATAAAAGGGAGAGGGACAGGGGGTTGGGACACTGCTAAGAGACGGTCACTGATCAAGCCTCAATTCTAGAAACACCACAAAAGCCCATGGCAGAGCACTTTAACCTCCCTGGACATTCCATCACTGATCTCAGGTGAGCTGTCCTTGGACAAAAAAACCTTTAAATACCAACGTAAATGTGACATTGCAGAACAAGATATCTTGCACATACAAGTATTAGCCATGGTCACAACAGGAGCCCATGGCTTCTTATTCCATTACCTGGACTAGCCATTAATTCAGGTGCTGACTGCTTTGTTCATCTCAACTTATCTAAACAACCCACATATTACCACTTTTAGCCACCCTGCCATAACTTCTGCCATCTGTAAGACTCTATGGGTAATTATTCCACTAAATGCAGGAGAGGCTTCAGATGCAGAACTCAGTAATTTTGGGCACAACCTTTGAAGAAAGATGTAGCTGAATTGCAGAGAATTTGCAGGTGAGGAACAGCAATGATGACGCTTAAAGAACATGATCTGTGAGGAAAGACTGAAGGAAATGGGAGGGAGACAGCACATACAGCTTCCACTATGTAACATAGCTTTCAGGTCCCTTTACAATGCCTACACCTTGAGGATAAGGACTTTCTTCTTCTGCACTACTATTCAACTTGTTTCAGATGACTTCAGCCACATTCAGCAAGTTTTTGTTTAGAATGAGTACAGACTCTACTGCAGTTCTGCTAGTCAGAGACAGTTATAACTCTTTATTTGCCAAGCACCTATTGCACAGCCTATTCTCATTTCAATTTCCAATTCTTATGAAGTAGGTTAAGCACTCAAAACCTCATCTGTTCTGTCAAGTAAAATTGATATGAAGAAAGGAATTTCATTTGTGGAACGTTTACTGTAATATTTAGAATGGGTGAGTGGATTTGGATAGTACACAAACTGAATTTCAGATTAATTTTTAGTTTAATTTTTTGCTTTCATGCAGTGTTTTCATGTTCTTTTCATAATCTTTCTGTAAGAGCTAAAGTGCTTGAAATCTTAAAGAATCTTAAAGAATCTATGCCCGTGAGATTTTTCAACCCAGTTTTTCAAGGTGAAAATTTCAGATCACTTTGATGAGTTTGCAAAAATAAATATTTTTATCTAAGCCTCAGTTGTAACAAAATGAGTATTCATATGAATGAACCTTCTGAGGTTCACTCATTGCCAGTCATATAATTATTTCTACAAAACTTTGATACTATTTAATGTTAATATCATGCCACATTTAGATTTTGAGGAAGTGATATACTGTGTATGTTTAGGATATCAGCAGTCTGACTAAGCAGTCTCAGCTCCTATAGGACCTTTTTCCAGCTTTTCCTTCTCAAGTCAATAACAAAGAAAAGCAGCACAGACAAAAGGAAAAATTAGTGAAGGCCCATAACCCAAAATACGATTAATGTTGTAACCAGTAATCCACGTGGGTGCATCCAGATGAGTGCAGACGTTTGTTTTCCTGGGGACAAGTAACAGTGGCACAACTTGTGTCACTGCTGCTTGTCTCTGGGGAACACCCATGCCATACACTTTCTGGTGTGTGGCAGGTTACCCTGGCTGGAGTAGGGGAGGCTGAGGCCAGCAATTGTGCTGGCCCCAGCAGTCTTACCTGGTATCCTGGGGACCTCCCAGGGCTGCAGCCACCACAAGAAGTCTGGTTGGCAGTTGAAGTGTGGCTCCGGCCAGCCGGGCTCCTGCTTTGGGCAGTGTGCATTGCTGCTATATGTGCTATCCCACTTATTTTTGGCGTGGGATTTTTTGACCCTGGGATCTCCAGGAATCAAACCTGCCCCCTTCCCTCCCCCCGCACTGCAAGATAGCGGTGCGGGGAATGCCTGTATGTGTGGTGTGTGGTGCCAAAGAACCGTCTAGACACAGCCCTTAATTCTCAATGAATATAAACTTACAAAATATAGCAATTCCTAAACTTAAATCTTATGCAGTATACAATTTTTTAAAACCCGTGTAACAAATTTAAAAATGATGGGATTTGATATAATAGTTCAGTTGCATTAAAGAAAGCTTTGGAGATGGGGCAGGGAAAAGGAAAGACCTCAACCCCAGCAGTATTTTCCATATTACTTACTTAGACAATATATTTCTTTCTTTGCTAAACCACAAGACACATAAAGCATGATGGATCAGATCCCCCAGCTTATATAGCTCTACTAATTTAAGATAATTGAGGAACTGGCCCAATAATTCATTTTCCATCACACCATGCTGGTAATTTAAATGCTTTTGATTACACTGAGATAATTTGCAACAGCTATGGATACTGTTCAATGTGAGAATAGGCTGGCTCAAGTTCACTAAGCCAATGAATGCATTTTAGTTTAAAATAATCTTTAAGGAAACAAATTCTGATCATATGCAGACACATATAACTTGAGCCCCTAATACTTAATAGTAAATACCATTACTCAAATATCTACCTTGTACTATGTATGGAGTGTTCTCTTCTTTGATTGGGGAAAACAAGGGACGCGGGGCAGGTGCTGGTGGCCTGTTCATGATAAATGATCTGCGTTCCTTTCTTCTCTCCTCATCAGAAGCAGCCAGTATCATGTCGTACACACCATCCTCCAATGTGGCGAAAGTGTATGGATCCTCCTCATCCTCTTCCCCCTGTGCTTCCTCAGCTATATCTTGTTCTTCTCCATGGTATGCTTCTAGGTGTCCACTGGTATGTTCCCTTTCCTTTCTGTCTTCCACCAATTTCCTGACTGTAATAGAGAAGTTTTCAGTCTTCCAAATCTCCAAAGCCCAAAATTCCCATATCTAAATTTGGGCACTTAAATTCATGCTTAGGCACCAAAATAAAAGTGGTTTGAGTCTCAAAACATATTAAGAACCCAAAACTATCATCCAGTTCAGTATAGGTAGATTCTAAGGTGATACTTGCAATTTCATTACTTCTTCATAATTTTCTCTAAGATTTTATGAGATGTTGCTGATACTTAGGTTGATATATCGTACTCATAACTCCCCCTCCCCCAAAATTGTCTGCCATAGCTCCCATTAAAGCTTTCTTATTCTTAAAAAAAGGATAACCATTTGGCTTACAGCACTTTTGAAAGCATATTAGATGTTTAAATTTGGCACCAGAGCACATAGTTGTGCATGTGTGTTTTTTTAATGGCATTTCTTTTCCCTGTGGTTCCCACAAATGATCTGTTTTTGATGGTATATCCAATATAATCTGGTGTTATAGTAACTAAACCACGAGAGAGGTAGATATGGAGGTTTCTACGTGCAATTCCTGCTCTGAGTGGTTAACAACTCCCCATACATGACATAAAACAACCACCACATACCTACACATACAAAACAAGTCTACTTTCCCCACCTTAATCCATGTAGCATGCTTTCTGGCTAGTCATAACTGAATTAACTTTTAACTTTCCTAATCTATTTAAAAATTGGTAGGGGAAATTAATAATGTCCAAGATACCAGTGTTAGGGCCCTGCCACTTATTCAAATTAAAGCTGAAAGAAACCAGCTATAGCAGAGGCGGGCAATTATTTTGCGTGGAGGGCTGCTTACCAAGTTTTGGCAAACCATCAAGGGCCACATGGCAAATCATCAAGGGCCATACCCCTTGGGAGGTGTCCCACCCCCTGCTCGCCATCTTGGGACTGCAAGTCCCACCCCCTAACCCCTGACCTTTGCCACCAGAGGTGCCTCCCCTTGCCCTCCAAATTACTCCTTTCAGCAAGGAGTTTTGCCATCTCTGAACCAGCAAAATACCAAATTATATTCTAAAAATAAAACATGTAGTACAACATTCATTCATTTCATTTCAGAAATATTTTTGTCCTGATTTACATGTGTTTGTGTATTGTAGTGTGCATAGAGGTGATAGTATAATAGTTTAAAATGAAGGCTTACTCTTATATATTGTGGGAGGGTGTGGGTGGGAGCGTGGGTATAGGTTTGTGGGTATGTGGAGGGTGTATATGTGTGTGGGATTTATGGGGGGGTGGATAGGTGGGGCTGTGGGTGGGTATGGGGTTTGTGGGGAGATGTGAGGGTGTGGCAGGAGGGTGGCTGGGGAGGGTTGTGGCCTGTGTGGAGAGGGAGGGTTTGCCCACAGCCTGCCCCCACCACGGCAGCAGGCAGAGCCCCCACCAGTGCTTTGCAAGCCTAGCTTCTGCGCCCCTGCCACTCCTGGCCCTGGTGCACTAGCACAGGTCCCATACTGCTGCTCACTGCCACTTGCCCCCTGTCTACCACTGCTTCCCTTTTCCTGCCACTTCCCCCTCTCCCCCCACCACTCCAGCACCATGTCCCAGCTGCTCTTGCTGTCCCAGTGCTGCAGCTGGGTACCACATGACACTGCAGTAGGGTGGTCGGGGGGCGGGGAGAAGTGGGGAAATGCCTGTGACAGGCGGGGGGAAAGGACAGTGAGCAGGCACGTGGAGTGCAGCAACAGCCGGACAGAAGTAAGGGGCCCATGCAGGTGCCCTAGGGCCAGCTCCGGCGGGGAGCGCGGGGTCTGGGCTGCCAGGGGCTCTATGGAACTGGGCTGTACTGCTTAAGAAGGGAGAGGAGGGAGCCATCTTGGCTCCATAGAGCCCCTGCCAGCCCAGGCCCCCGTGCTCCGGCCGCCCCGCTTTGGGCCTCACCAGTGCTGGCCCCGGGGCACTGCTGTGGGTGCCATGCTCCCACCTAGCTGTTGCTGCGCTCTGCGTGCCCGCTTGCTGCCTCTTCCCCCCTCCTGCCACAGCCATTTCCCTGCTCCCTCCACACCACCTGCCTGCCTGCCAGTACCATGTGGTTCCTGGCTGCAGTACCAGGACCGCAGGAGCCAGCCTGGTTGGCCCTGAGGACTGGGGCAATTGCCCATGGTCCTTCCCTGCCTCTCTCCCCCCTCTCCTCCTTATCTGTATTTCCCTTGGCATGGGGAGGCCAGAGTAGTCCCAGGCCAGAAGCCTCTAGAAGTCCCTGC